ATACAGGTGGCAGTTATGTGAATACAGGTGGCAGTTATGTGAATACAGTTGACAGTTATGTGAATACAGTTGGCAGTTATGTGAATACAGTTGACAGTTATGTGAATACAGTTGGCAGTTATGTGAATACAGTTGACAGTTATGTGAATACAGGTGGCAGTTATGTGAATACAGGTGGCAGTTATGTGAATACAGTTGACAGTTATGTGAATACAGTTGACAGTTATGTGAATACATTTGGCAGTTATGTGAATACATTTGGCAGTTATGTGAATACAGTTATGTGAATACATTTGGCAGTTATGTAAATACAGGTGGCAGTTCTGTGAATACAGTTATGTGAATACATTTGGCAGTTATGTGAATACAGTTATGTGAATATAGTTGGCAGTTATGTGAATACAGTTATGTGAATATAGTTGGCAGTTATGTGAATACAGTTATGTGAATACAGTTGGCAGTTATGTGAATACAGTTGACAGTTATGTGAATACAGTTTGCAGTTATGTGAATCCAGTTGGCAGTTATGTGAATACAGTTGACAGTTATGTGAATACAGTTTGCAGTTATGTGAATACAGTTATGTGAATACAGTTTGCAGTTATGTGAATACAGTTGGCAGTTATGTGAATACAGTTATGTGAATACAGTTGACAGTTACATGAATACAGTTATGTGAATACAGTTGACAGTTATGTGAATACAGTTTGCAGTTATGTGAATACAGTTGACAGCTATGTGAATACAGTTTGCAGTTATGTGAATACAGTTATGTGAATACAGTTGGCAGTTATGTGAATACAGTTATGTGAATACAGTTGACAGTTACATGAATACAGTTATGTGAATACAGTTGACAGTTACTTGAATACAGTTGACATGTGAATACAGTTGGCAGTTATGTGAATACAGTTGATAGTTATGTGAATACAGTTGGCAGTTATGTGAATACAGGGGACAGTTATGTGAATATGGTTGGCAGTTACGTGAATACAATCGACAGTTATATGAATACAGTTATGTGAATACAGTTGACAGTTATGTGAGTACAGTTTCCTACAGTGTAGCAATCACAACACCTATACTTTGACCTCCCCTCCCCTCCCCTCCCCTCCCCTCCCCTCCCTGCCAGGGCACGCCCACCACAGACAGTGTTGTGTGATTCTGGTTGGCTTGCCCACGACTACAAATCTTGCTCTGGCTCTTTCTGTTTATATCAAAATTGCAAAATGTTTGGTTCAAAGCTGAACAGCTAACACAACCTACTTTGAAATTACAAGTTTATGAGTTTCCTTTAATGCCATTTAATGAAAATTTAAAAAATATATATATTCTTGAAATCTGGTTGATTGTCACACCACATGAATTTCGATGGCTAGATGGTACAAGGTTGATAAATGGGAAAGTGTTCACCATCACAGCAATTCTGTTCCCGATTTATCAAATAGCTTGTCTTCAATGACTTATTTCTTTTCTCTTTGACAAACCTCCGTTTCCTCTTATATAATGTTTTTACCTTCCTATTGGGGAAAACTTTGTTAAAGGACAATCAAATAACAAGATGTTTGTGCTTAATGTTCATTCAAATATAAATTAGGTGGGTGAGTGAGTTGGGTTTAGCTGCTTTTAGCAGTATTCCAGTTGTATCACAGTGTGTCAGATGGATGTGGGAGGAAAGCCTGAAGTGATGCAGGTCTCAGACGTTTACCACTTCTGTGAAACTCACGGAAACGGTAACTGACAAACATGATTGGGATGAACCGGGATTCGATCCTAAATCATATATTTCTGGTGCGTCCAAGGGATGCAACTGTATATAGCCAGTTGTGATGCCTTAGATGACTGGAGCACCCGTGCCCCTATTTTAACAAACAATGGAGAACATGTCAATTTATGGTTTAGATATATATATTTTTGTCTAACACGCTAAGTGTATGGTTTTAATTAATTTATGCTTCATTTATGCTTCCAATGATAGAATGAAACATAGCAGAATTTTCATTTCATCTTTTGGGTTTATTTGTTCCAAGATTTCCAAGGTGTTTGAGAAAGATATGTAGTGGTGTAGGAACGTTGGTGTTGGCTGTAAGCTAGGAACAGACGTTGTCAAGCTCATTTTAGAGCTTGTGTGTTTTAGTCGGTTATTTGAGAAAATTCAAATTTAATTCAAATTCCAGCCTGTTTTCATCGCAGGATTAGAATTTATAGTTTCTGCATGTATTTCTCTTTCAGCTAAAACAATTATTAACAATTACTTCCAAGACCGGTGTCACAAATGCAGTTTTAATATCTGATCAACTCGAGAATATGTCCAACACACATTGCGTCATTTCCTGGAGAGATTGACCAATGTTCTTGCTGACTTGCCATGCCTTGTGTTTAATAAATTATTTATTTGGACAACACTTTCTTTGTTAAGTACAGATTCTCGTACTTTTTTTTCCCCCTTCTGGCGATTAGGTGCCTCACTCTGGCAGTGTGGGTTCGAATCCCGGATGGGACTCAACCCCAAAAAGTATGAGAATCTGTACTTTACTAAGAAAGTGTTATCCCAAATATTGATGCAGCAATTATTACGGAGCAGTTTTATGTCAGATAAAAGTCTTTGATTCCTTAAGTTTGGGGGGAGTTAATGGGTCTTCAGGTTAACCATCTGTCAGTATTACCTTTTCAGGGGATTTAAAATACAAGTCAACAAATAAAGCACAAATCAATCAATATGAATCAATAAAGACAGTACCAATCAATAAATAAAGTACAAATCAATAATTGAAGTACCTATCGGTAAATGCAGCACCAATCAATATACACAGTACAAATCAATAAGTGCAGGACAAGTCAATCAATACAACAGTATCTTTTCTTAATTCAAAGTATTTGGATATTTCATTCAATGCAAACATTTGTAAAGCTAAACATTGAAGCCTTGCCTTGTTGTGTGGTTCTGTTATCACTGAAACACAAGTCTCGGAAAAGCCAAAACATTTGGTATTAGAACATGCCTTGGCAACGTTTTAGTTCCAATTTGGGCCTTTTTACTTACATTTGCTTCAGACTTCGGATCAAACAAGCAATTGCCCCCTGGTAAATGTTAAGAAAAGATGAAGTAAGAAGTAGGGCTGCAACGAATACACTATGAGGCGAATACGATTCGTATCACGAATATAGGGTAGCGAATACGAATATCAGCGTTCGAAATACCTGCCTGCCCGACCGTCCGAGACGGGTTGATTTCAACTCGGGCTGTCAGATTTTCAAATCCCCCTGCCCGACGGTCGGGTTATATTTCATAGGTGAAAATATTCTAAATGTTTCCCGATTGTAAGCATTAATTCACATGTAAAGATGAATGATAAAATGTAACCAAAAAGAAAACCCTGTTAGCTTTTAGACAACCTAACATTTAGCGATGCGCTTATGCTACAAGCAATCAGTTTTCATATTTTTAATTAAATTATCCTGAGAAACATATGATTATAGTGGGCAGGCAGGTTTTGGTCAGGGCTGGCAAGTATTTCAGCTAGCCAGTCCTGTGGTCTGGCTGAAATTTTTTGGAGTTTCATACCCTGCGAATATTAATTCACGAATACAATAATAAGTCAGCAGTTGATGTATTATTTGTTATATTCAGCATGTTCAGTGAGGCAACAACAACATAAACTATTTGACATGGTTTGTTAATTATCTATATTATACATTTAAATACTGCACTTGTCTGGGTACTTAGTCTTAGTATCTGCTCAAATGCTACAATGACCAGTGACCAAATTCCTGTCAAATTAAATATTATAAGAGTGTTGTCTTTAAAGAAATCTATGCATATCATATGTTCTTATGGATGTTTTAGGTACAGGGTATGTAAATGCACATGATTGCATATTCATAAATATTCGATTCTAGTGGCCACGAATAACGAATTCAATTCATGAATGGATACGGTTTGATTCACCGTATACGCGAGTAAATCGTAACGGCCCTAGTAAGAAGTGAGGATATTGCTCTGCGTTTGTGATGCCATGTTGAGACTTTTTGTCTGTCACACCAACTGTCTGCAGTTCCATTTCTTTCCATTATTCCTTTCATCAACACGTCCAAGTATCCGTCCTCATCATTTCTGTGTTTTTATTTTAAGTTGTAGTCTTCTCTGTTAACACGTTGGATTCCGATGTCTTATATTACGTTAATCCCTTCGTAGAACTATTTAAACCAAATTCTCTGACAATAACAAAATGATAACGTAATTTATTCTAACAAATTTGACGAGCTTAACTTTTGGTATATGTTTGGTATATATATCTGGCCTGGTGAAAACTATTGAAAATATTCTTTCAGGAAAATAGAAGAAAATCACAAAGTAATGGCATTCATGATCTGATATAGTTATGGTGAGTTTATAGCAAGTTAGAGAATTTACACTGACTCCTACTTTTTGCTTCATGCTTTTGTTCTGCTGCCGCCACGGTCCACTCTTTTCCTTCATACAAGTTCCTGATAAACAGACAACGTCACATTGAAATGTTTTCGAAATTTTGTCAGTGATCGCCTCCATTTTGACCTTATATCCAACGATGTTCATTGTGAACTGTTCTGCCAAGGTACATCAAACGTTTTTAACATGGTTGTGCAATGCTCATGCAACAATTTTGATAAATTGATACGTTTTTATACTTTCATGCTTTTATGGGAGTAATAACAAAAGATAGGATCATTGGTCACAGGGAGGTAACTCTTTTTCTAAATTTTTATTTGGATTGGAAATCGAATATAGTCTTTTTTGATTTGATTGTTTTGGTCATTTATTAAGCACATTTCAAAATTTGAGTGGTATTTCTTTGCCCAAATTATCACAAAAACTCAAAACATTTATTTTAAATCTCATTGCATAGGTTAATGTTCTCAGAGGTGAAACTGTTTATCAGGAACTCTTCTCATTGTCCTGTACTGTTTGTCTTGTGTTCAGCATCATTATCTAAACCATGTTGTGTTTCCTTCCTTTCTAGTGAGTTTGAGCCAGTCAAGTGGTCGGGCGCGGTCGGACCCCACCCACCAACACCACCCACATCTACACTTGCAGTCATCCCACTCCGCGGCTCACCACCAGGGGGCGCCGACTGGAGCTGGAGGAGGAGGAGGAGGCTACACCACTATGGATTGTGAGAGTCCCCACCACCGCCCGACCGTCGTCACGACAACCGCGCACCACGCTGCACACCATCACCCACTTGCACAGCAGCCAAGCTGGGCCAGTGCGGAGGTATCCCAACTCCACGGTCGCCATAGCAATGGGTCGCATTCACATTCCCACTCACATCAACGGCATCATCACCATTCACCCTCATCGTCGGCATCAACCACGTCATTACATCAGTCTGGCCACTCAGTCCACAGCGGGACGACCGGAACGTCCCAGCAGAATCTAATGCTCGGAACACTCTATTCAGACCCAGAAAGAAGTAGCTTCAGTGCCCGCACGAATTTCGCCCCCAGCGGCGTGCCCCCACCGGAATTGTCTTCCGCTACAAACATAGCCGGTTCAGGTGAACTCGGCAGTGTACACGCACTTCATCATCATCCGAGCGGAAACAGCCTCGAGGCCACCCAACTAGGCTCGGTGAACATGCAGTTGGCCGGGTACCCTTCATCGCCAGGACAATATGGACAGTTCAGTCAACAAGCAGGATGGCCCCCCTCAGCCTTCCCCTACGCTTTAACATCCACGGCTGCTCCCACATCCCTGACCAGTCATGACCCTACGGGTCAGCACAACCGGACTGGCGGTGCCGGGGAGAGGGGGGAGGAGTCGCCCATGGTAGGGGTGTGCGTTCAACAGAGCCCTGTGGCCAGCCATTAACGTCAGGCAAGAGACTAGGTGTGTTTGTATAGTGTGCCATCTGTAGGTGGGATGGGGTGGGGTTGACTCCCCTCTGGGATCGCGCCTCAAAGCGGCCTCCACATGACGATGGTGGGGAATGGAGATTCTACCGTTGCAGTTGTAGAAGCTCTAAGTTGAGTGACAGGGATCCTCTTTGTGCATATGTCTTGGAATATATACAGAGTGCTGTGGACTGACGCGATGAACCAGAGCTATGGACTGATGCGGTGAATGAGAGCTGCGTATGTCTTCGTGGCAACACAGGAAATTCTTGAACAGTGCTGTCCAGGCTGTGATGACAAGGAACTAGCAAGCTCTCCCTGATGAGCTTATGCCTCTTGAACTGGATATCTGACCATGAACTGTCACCAACAGATAGATAAGGCTTCACTGGATATCCGACACGGACTCTCCAACAGACAGATCAAGATTGACAGGTTATCCGACACGTACTATCGCAGACAGATCAAGCTTGACTGGATATCCGACACGGACTCTCCAACAGACAGATCGGGCTTGACTGGACATCTGCCGCGGACTCTCCAACAGACAGATCAAGCTTGACTGGATATCCGACACGGACTCTCCAACAGACAGATCAAGATTGACAGGATATCACACGAAGACTCTCCAACAGACAGTTCAGGTTTGACTGGATATATCCGACACGGACTCTCCAACAGACAGATCAAGCTTGACTGGATATCCGACACGGACTCTCCAACAGACAGATCAAGATTGACAGGATATCCGACACGTACTATCGCAGACAGATCAAGCTTGACTGGATATCCGACACGGACTCTCCAACATACAGTTCAGGTTTGACTGGATATATCCGACACGGACTCTCCAACAGACAGATCAAGCTTGACTGGATATCAGACACGTACTATTGCAGACCGTTCAGGTTTGACTGGATATATCTGACACGGACTCTCCAACAGACAGATCAAGCTTGACTGGATATCTGACACATACTCTCCAACAGACAGATCGGGCTTGACTGGACATCTGCCGCGGACTCTCCAACAGACAGATCAAGCTTGACTGGATATCCGACGAAGACTCTCCAACAGACAGATCGGGCTTGACTGGATATCCGACACGGACTCGCCGACAGACAGATCAAGCTTGACTGGATATTTGACATGGACTCTCCAAAAGACAGATCAAGCTTGACTGGATATCCGACGAAGACTCTCCAACAGACAGTTCAGGTTTGACTGGATATCCGACACAGACTCTCAAACAGATCGGGCTTGTGCTGGCCTTGAATGAGTAAAGCAAGAGAAAAAGAAGATTCTGTGACATTGTTAGTCTGACAAAAAATTCCTTACATTACCAGCGTGCACCAAGACGGGCAATACTGACATTTAGTGTGCCCATATGCAACAAACGTGTCAGCCAAAATTTTGTAGAATTGTTCCAGCAGAACGGCATCACCCTTTCCGAGTGTAGTGTTATTCAGCAGTGAGGTCCTCACGGCAAGACAATCCCCACGAACGGAGAAAGGCTGTGAAAGAAGACAAAGGTCTTCCCGACTTACAGAAACATGTCGGACCAATGCCAAATCAATTGATTCATTTATAAGCTGGACACACATTCATTGTATATATTCTCGTGTGGGCAGGGTATGGACTGCTGCAGCACCTCCCCACATGATAATCCTTCAGAGTGCGACAACTCCCGAACAGCGTTTATATGCTAGTCACCACTGGGGTCGGTTCCTCCAATATAATTGTACATAGTGTACATAAGGACCGGAGCATCCTGCGACCGGAGCATCCCGTCGGGGAAAGAGGAAGGGCTCCGACAGCAAGTGTGGGTTTGAAGAATGACGGTCTCAGTCCCCCTGTGTGTGGAAGACCGTCATTCTACTGCTTGTATATTATGCTTGATACAAACAGAATGTGTAAATTGGTACTGAAGTATGCTATAATGTGACTATTTATTATTTAAGATTGAAAGGTTGGGCCCAAGTAGGTGCCAGGCAAACAATATGTTACAGTAGGCAGACATCGCTGTGATGATCTGTGCTCCCGTTAAGCGTTTAGTTCCAAGCTTGATGTGAAATCTCCCTCTACTTTTCCTGTCTCTATTATCAGGGATTTGTCTTTCATGTTTCAGAGATACTGTTTTTTCGTAAAATCTGGTAAATTTTCCCATTTGTTTTTTTCAAAAATCCCAATTGAAATGTCATTCTTTGCGTTTCTCAGCTTATATGATAAAATTCACAGTGACATCTCTTCAACAATTTCCATAATTTTCAAAGACAAGACACATCTTTGAATTTAGAGCAAAGAAACATTTTTATCATCAAGTCGATGAAACTGGATAAATCCCTGCACATTAACCAACATTATGGTTCAACCTAGCTTAAACATTTCATTGCACTGCCTTAATCAGAAAAAAACAACTTTCATTAATCATCAACAAACAATGTGCTCTTTCTTGCAGTATTAGATGTCTATCTTACGTCTCATCTCAAAAATCGTAATAAATTTGTGCAAGCTTGGAGCTGAAGGGTTCCGCGAAGCGGAGGTTGATGATGTTTGCCTACTACTTGTATATAGTCTCCCAATGTCGTAGCTAGGAACGTAGCCTTATACACAGCCACTCCGCAGCAGGTCAAGGTCGTGCAACATCGTTGACAGACAAACATGACCATCAGCACGCATATTTGCATAAACATTGTCGCGTTACGCCAAGACCAGGGTCGGGCAGCATAACAAGCTGGGTCAGCATGCATACATCCTTACACATTTCTCAATCTGCCATTTTGTGAACGAAGTTCAACTCTGTATTGGATCCTTTCTATATGTTTGTGGAAATGAAACTGTAACATTGTTGTCAAAAGGTAATGAAGATGTTTCAAAAGAAGTTTCAAAATTGTGATTGTCCCTGACATTGATCCCAAGGCTCCAAGGGAGGTAACTCTACCTGTAGAGTTGTCTCCCTTGGCTGACAGACTGTCCGTGCGTTATAGGGCATATCAGGTTAAATAATGGCTCTGTCTGTTTATCTTGGATCCCTTGCCCTAACGAAGATGGCCGTAGCTCTAAGATGATCGTAACTCCCTTACATTAAGAGTCTCAGGATGGCCTCAGCGCTAAGATGATCGTAACTTCCATACATTAAGAGTCTCAGGATGGCCTCAGCACTAAGATGATCGTAACTTCCATACATTAAGAGTCTCAAGATGGCCTCAGCACTAAGATAATCGTAACTTCCATACATTGCCTCTAAGATTACTTTCGAACAATGCCGAGGATCCTATGTTATATTTCAATAGTCCTCCAAAAATGCGCTGCTATTGAGTTGCCGTCGATTGTGATTGACCAATGTATGCATGCAGTCCCAGACTTGTGTGGATTGTACCGCGCCCAGCACATTGTCATGTGACCTAGTTGCTGCTACTTGTTCACTACTTGTAGCTTGACCTTCGCCCTCAATCTGTCCTTGACCTGTGACCACAATCTGTCCTTGACCTGTGACCCCAATCTGTCCTTTCTCACACCAATTGGGTGGGCGACTTTAAAATTTGATGACAGAATCTTTTCTCTAGAATGGGGCTTGGCTAGGGTGATATATTATGTTGTATGACGTGGACTAATTTAAGGCATACATACTGATGAAATAAAAGCATGACCATATGTGATCGTTTCTTCTCGCATGCTTTGGTGGGTCAATCTTCCTAATAGTCAAAATGCTTTCTCACATTTGGACAAATAAAACATATTTTATGTTCATTAAGAAAAAACAAAAACTTACCAGTACAATAAACACCAAGTAATTTTTATTTCACAGAAAATTACTGAATTTCTTTCTTTTCAAAATTCAAATACAATTATGTGACCATTTTGGAAGGTCGGAACAGTGAAAGTTTTTTGTTTTTAGATTCCCGAAGGATGCGTTTCGTTGTATTCTCGGTGTATATGTAAGACAAGCATCTATGGCAGGACTCTGATCAGAGACCGATTAACAAGTTGTGGCCATTTTTTTTAATTGGTAATTCTTCCCATGGCAAACCTACAACAGCAAAGAATATTGACACATTCGACTTTGTTTTCATGTCGCCATCTTCATTCTTAACTGAAGACTTAATATGATAGCAAAGGGAGAGTGCTGCAATGTCTGCCACAAACTGGCCATAGATAAGACACATGCCATAGATTGGAGTCCTACATTTCAAAGGGCATTTCAATGTCTCCGGTATCCTTGGTTTCTCAATGATTCCTCTGCCTTTGTTTCATATCGTACAATTCCCAGAAAAACGTGTTTGCTGTGTGAAGTGCCAAGGGTTAAGACAATAGTGCCCCTTATTCACAGACTATCTATTCTACTTGGTTTCAGCTACACTAAGCTTCCGATTCGATCATCACAAAACAACAGGTTTGTCCTCGCAATAAAGGACATTTGTAATTTCGTTTCTCTAATGTGCGGCACTTCAATACAGTTGTGTTGTCCTCATGTTCTCATCTGGTTTGGGGCCAATGTCTTTAAAGACAGTTTTCACAAGTCTCATAAAAGTGTATTGAAATCCTGGAAAATGTTTTTCAAAGATTCGAAATTGAAGTTCACAATTCCATCAATTAATACCTCGTTTGCCCTTGCCCTTTCCAGTTGTAGAGATTTTGAATTATGAAATGACAATGCAATATTGAAATTTTTTGAAGATAAAGTCAAATTTTCATTTTTAAGAATAATGTATTTGATTTCCTAATGTGCCTTTTTCAGTGTGAAAAAAAATAAATTTGAACGGATTCAGATACTTAAGAAATATTTGAGTTGTCTAGAAGCGTTACTAATTTCCAAAAATTGTTGAGAATTCCTGTATTGCTTTGTGATGTGTCATGAAAGGTAACTGATGTTGCCCAAGGTTGTTATTGGACCACTGGGATAAAATTCCCCTGATATGTGGGGATGACTCCCATCAAGCAACCAGTTTTTAGAATGAACAGATTTTAGAATAAAGTTGTGTGCTAATGAAGATTTTTAAAAATGTGATCATGAATATATTTTGATTAGCAAAATGGTATTGCAATTTCTGTATGACAAGCAGCACCTGGAGAACAAGCATTATATTTCCAGGAAGTCGATAATCAGACATAGATTCATCTGTACTTAAGGTGGAATACACCCAGTCATGCTGTGTGACTTGTTTCAGTCAAATATTGACGTGTGTGTTGAGGAAAGGTTTTTAAAGATGAACTATGAAAATGCGGAGCCTACCACTTTACGCCAAGAGGTACCTATTCAATGAGGTTGTCTGTCTTTGTTTAAAACCATTTGGAAAGTTTTTAATTATTTTATAATTTTATTCTCATTAAAACTTACCTGAGATAAAAAAACAAACTGATTTTACAGATTAAAGTAATGATGGTCGTCAGTTGACTGTCATCACATCTCAGATAAGGTTGAAAATGTCTTGTCACCATGGCAACACAGGGTTGTGTTTTAGTAAATGTAGCTCGCATCCATTATAGGATGTGAGGACAACACTGGATTTAGAGATTCCAAGATTACTCTGGGTTCTGATGATCGGAATTGCATCAGTGTTTCAACACTGTCAAGAAAAACAGACAGTAGTTCTATTTTGATCAATTAATGTTTTCATTACCGTTTAAAATTTGTGGATTTTTCAAGAACCTTCCCTCAGTGGAAATCTGATAATTAGTGTGTCCTTGCAGTGGATTTTGACTTCACTCTTGTGTTAAGACTTCCATGTTCTGAAAGGTCAGCTTACTGACCCTAGAGGTGTGAATTTGTTAAATTGGAAGTCCATCTTGGAAGGAATAAAGAAGAATTGTCTTTGAAATTTGGAAAACTAAATGTAAATGTTAGTTCTCTACAACTCAAGATTACATGGTAATATTGAACATTTTGTATAACCCAAAGTGTTTTCTGGACCGGTTAGGAGTTGGCGTTTTTCACCATTGAAATTGTATGACTGAATCATGTTTCGTAGAATCTGAGATGTAATTTGGAAAGTGAAAGAATTAAATATAGTTTCAGAGGAACTGTTTGTCATTTAGTGGAACGAAATTGAACAGAGACATTTTGATAAAATGGTTAAAAGAAGTTGACAAGTAATCATGTTTGAAGAATTGAAATTGTGTTAAGGAAATACGCATTGATAGGGAAAATATGAAGTACTGGGTATCCTGTTTCTGACTTTATATTTTTGGTTTTAATCATTTTACAATGGACATTGTTGAGCCTGTATTTAATCTTGTTTAATACTTTTAGACAAAGCTATTTGTGAGATATTAGCCTTCTTTTATCCATCATTATGTTTATATCTTAACTTTTAACTCACTCACTCACTGTACATGTTAATAGCCATCATTTTAAGATATAAATTTATATTTACTCTGAGTTCATTGCCTTATGCCAGGCCCCGCCATCTTATCTGAAGCATCTGTCTGCGAGGTTATCTCCCTTTGACCATGGGTTACCTCCCTTAGACCATGGTTTCCTATCCTGAGTCTGTAGTGTCACCTGTCTGGCAGTAAACAAGCTACATCGCTTGCAATTTGTCTTTGTTGTTGTATTTATATTTACTTAGCTTATCTCAAACGAAACATGGATACTAAGATTAATGCCCTCTGTTAAGCCTTACACACTTTGCTATAACCAGCCTAGTGGTTGGAATTGCCTCCGAGGTCTTGTGGTAGAGCGTCCGCCGGCAGAGCTGAAGGTCCGGGGTTCGATCCCCAGCCGCGTCATACCAAAAGACGTTAAAAGATGGTACTTGTTGTTACCCTGTCTGGCGCTCGGCATTAAGGGGCTAAAACAAGGACTGGTCAGCTCGGAGTATACTGGTTGACGCGACGTTAAACCCAATTTCACCTCACCTTGTGGTTGGAATTGGTCCTCAGTAACCCGTGCTGGTCGTAAGAGGCGACAGAATGGTTTGTCTGGTCCAGGCTCGATTATTTACAGGTCGCCCTCATATAGCTGGACTATAGCTTATTCCAAGTTTCACAAGAGATTTGGTGAGGTGGAATAACCTAGTGGTTAAAGCGTTGACTCGTCAACCCGTCCGCCTCCGTGGTCTAGTGGTAGAGCGTTCGCCCAGAGAGGAGAAGATCGTGGGTTCGAACCGCATCGCCGTCATACCAAAAGACAGTAAACTGTGTATGAGTGGGGTATTCTTCTTAAACTGCGACATGGTATCTCAGTGGGCTAGCACTATATAACCCGCATTAGTTCGGACCAGCCACCCAGACACACGTGCATGTACGTCGCTATATAAGTGCAATACTCTTGGACGCGACGTTAAACCCCATCAAACCTCATCTTGTCACGCCGTTCGATTTCCCACACGGGTACAATGGGTGAAGCCCATTTTCCGGTGTCCCCAGCCGTGATATTGCTAAAAGTGGCGTAAAACATTACCCACTCACTCACAAGGGCGTTATGTACTTCTCAGTGTTCAAATTAAGGGGGCATGATGTCCTATAGGCTGATCCTATAGTGTCTGAATGTCACTTGTATCAATCAGTGACCGCCTCAGTGGTCTTGTGGCGAGAGCGCCTGCCAGGAGAGCGGCAGGTCGGGGGTTCGATCCCCGGCCGCATCATACTAAACTATGGTACGTGTTACCATGCCTGGAATTCAGTATCAACGGGATGAAACAAGGACTGGTCTGCACAAAATCCTTGTATACGTTAAACTGCAGCATGGTATCTCAGTACCCGTGAAGACCTGTGTTAGAATAGGTCTTCAGCAACCCATGCTTGCTGTAGGAGGCGACTAACCGGATCGAGTGGTTAGGCTCGCTGACTTGGTTGATGCATGTCATCGTATCCCAATTGCGTGGATCGATGCTGATGATGTCAATCACTGGATGGTCTGGTCAAGACTCGATTATTTACAGACCGCCGTCATATAGCAGCAATATTGTTGAGTGCGGCGTTACAAAACAAACAAACAAACATCCCCCAAGACTCGATAATTTTTAAGCCGCTGTTACATGTAACCGGAGTACTATAACACCGGCATTGTCCGTACAAGGGCACCCACAAACACGCACGCTCGTCGCTGTATGTGTGTTAAACCCAATTTCACCTCACCAGTATCAATCACACGATCACCTGTTCCAAGACTCGATTGGGGGCACGGGCGGCCCAGTCGCCCAAGGCGAAGCAATTCGCCGAAGTGGTAAACGTCTGAGACCTGCATCACTTCGGGCTTTCCTCCCACATTAAGCTGCCACGCCGTGATATGACTCGAATACTGTTAAAAGCGGCGTTAAACTCAACTCACTCACTCACTCACTCATACCATAAAAAAATGAGTTGACAAATTGTCTAAGTCTCCAATACAAACGGTCCAAATGAAATCAAGTATGAAACCAAACCCTGTGCTCTAAAACCTTCCAGTGGGCCTTCTCGTTTGAAAATATAAAAAGCAAACTTCTAGCTTTACATTTTCTACTATTCGGAGAGATTCAGTCGTAAATTTGTTGCATACATTAGCTCAGATTATTGCGATTATATCGTCGCAAGAATTGAGGAATTAATGATTTGATACTTATTTGGAAAAGTCAACAGAAATCGTTCAATGTGACGCCATGACTGACGCAGACTCTCGCACACTGACGACGACATTGGTCTGCCATTCCAAGGACAGTAGGGGAACATAAAAACAAATAGAAGCTGTTGAATTCAGATTGATTCTGATTACTTAACTTACATGACGGTCATTTATGCATATGCGATCCCTGCATCAGGGAAAGGGGGCACGGGTGGCCCAGTCGTCTAAGGCGTCGCGATTCGCTGTGCAGAGTTGCGTCCCTTGGACACGCCGGAAACCTGTGCTCGTTGGTTCGACTGCCCATTCGCCCCGAATCTTTCTGGATTTGTCAACACCATAACCATGCTCTTGGTTTTCATCAAAGTGCTACGCGCCAGAGACCTGCATCACTTCAGGTTTTCCTCCGACATCAAGCGGACACCGTGCTTCAACTGGAATACAGTTCAAAGCAGCGTTAAACCCAACTCGCACACTTCAGCAACAACCCATGCTTGCCGCAAAAAGAGACTATGCTTGTCCTTAGAGGCGACTAATGGGATCGGGTGGTCAGGCTTGCTGACTTGGTTGATACATATCATTGATCTCAATTGCGTGGATCGATGCTCATGTTGTCAATCACTGGATTGTCTGGTCAAGACTCGATGATTTTCTTGGAATATTGCTGAGTGCGGCGTCAAACAACAAACAAAACAAACTGGGTTGCTGACTTTCAGTGTCCCTTCTTTCAACTTTCAGGATAAATCACCAACAGCCATGACACTACTGGACCTACACCAGTTCCACGTCACACCGGGGCGGTCGGGTAGCCTAGTGGTTAAAGCGTTCGCTCGTCACGCCGAAGACCCGGGTTCGAATCCCGACATGGGTACAATGTGTGAAGCCCATTTCTAGTGTCCCCCGCCGTGATATAGCTGGGCGTAAAACCAAACTCACTCACTCACTCCACGTCACACCATCCCGAAGGTTGACTTTCATTTTCAGGTATAGTGGATTTAAATAAGAAAAATAATACTTAAGACATTGACGACGGGAACAACAGAGATTTAATGTATAAACCCGGTTTTAAACTTGAACATTTTCCCAGTGATTTTCTAATAAGTAACAGCACTGAAGCTGTAGTAATGTTAGCAATGGACAAGACTGAGAATCTATCTGCCGAGAACCTAAGCCATATCGGAATGAAGATTTGCAGGATCATTGGAATAGAGTCCAGGGTCCACTTGCACAAAGCGATCTTAGCGCTAAGACTTTCGTAAGCCTATGTTAAAGTATGGGAGTTACGATCATCTTAGCGCTTAGTCTGTCGTAAGCCTAGGTTAAAATATTGGAGTTACGATCATCTTAGCGCTTAGACTGCCGTAAGCCTATGTTAAAGTATGGCAGTTACGATCATCTTAGCGCTTAGTCTGTCGTAAGCCTAGGTTAAAATATTGGAGTTACGATCATCTTAGCGCTTAGACTGCCGTAAGCCTATGTTAAAGTATGGCAGTTACGATCATCTTAGCGCTTAGACTATCGTAAGCCTATGTTAAAGTATGGGAGTTACGATCATCTTAGCGCTTAGACTATCGTAAGCCTATGTTAAAGTATGGGAGTAACGATCATCTTAGCGCTTAGACTATCGTAAGCCTATGTTAAAGTATGGGAGTTACGATCATCTTAGCGCTTAGACTGTCGTAAGCCTATGTTAAAGTATGGGAGTTACGATCATCTTAGCGCTTAGACTGTTGTAAGCCTATGTTGAAGTATCGGAGTTACGATCATCTTAGCGCTTAGACTGTCGTAAGCCTATGTTAAAGTATGGGAGTTACGATCATCTTAGCGCTTAGACTGTCGTAAGCCTATGTTAAAGTATCGGAGTTACGATCATCTTAGCGCTAAGATCGCTTTGCAAGTGGGCCCAGGAGAGGAAATGGTTAAAATGTTATGGTACAAATCAAATGAAGGAAATCTGTAAGCAGAATTGCCAAGCAGTAAGAAATACTTCGAAAAAATCGATAAGAAATATAAACGCCAATATCAGTTACACAAGCATGATCACTGGAATCACTTCTTGCTCAGCACGCAGACCTTGACTCCCGGAATGATGTTTGTTTGTTTGTTTGTTTGTTTGTTTAATGCCGCTCTCCGCAATATTCCAGCTGAATAATCGAGTCTGGGCCAGACAATCCAGTGATTGACATCATGAGCATCGATCCACGCAATTGGAATACGATGGAATGCCAACAACAAATACCATATATTGGTCTTCGGTGTGACGCGGCCCTGTATCGAAGCCCCGACCTTCCGCTCTCCGGGCGGACGCTCTACAACTAAACCACGGAGGCGGTCTAGTCATAGTGAGTGAGTGTGGTTTTACGCCGCTTTGAGCAATATTCAAGCAATATCATGGCGGGGGAGACTAGAAATGGGCTTCACACATAGAACCCATGTAGGGAATCGAAACCGGGTCTTCAGCGTGACGAGCGAGCGCTTCAACCATTAGGCTACTCGGTCGACCCGTCGGGTCATAGAAGGAACGTGGCGTATAGTAAACGATTAGATATATAAGACGCACCTCAAAACCTCAAAAAAACCCTCAAAATCCAAAGATGCTGCCTCAAAACACACTTAAATGGTTTATCCACAATTGTGGTGGTGACTTGCTTCGTTAACTGCTGCGAAAAGGTCCATATATTAGTGACGAAAATGACATGTTTTGTATTAATAAACAGCGGGCTCTAGACGCCCAGGCAGGTCTATCCTCTCGCCGAATCTCGGGAAGCCATATCTCTCCAGAACTATGTTACCGTCAGACATCTCTCGTGGTGTCAGGGGAGAACGGGATCCTGTTGACTTCCGGCTAATCGACGAGCCTCGTTGTGAGTCTACTTCAAATGCAGCCAGAGCTTTTGAGACATGCTTCCCTGGTATATCTAATTTCTGGAACAAGGCTTTAACCATGCCTTCCTTCTCCTTCAGGAGGTCTTCGTACTTTAGAGCAAATATAGGGATCCCACTCTCTCTAAACTCCTTGTATCTCGCCATTATGGCCGCACTCAATATCATCCATAGGCCAACAAAAGTCAAGTTGGATGCAATGTCCTCAAGGTCATGGTCATTGCGATCTATGCGTGTCATCGTTGTGTACACATCCCTTCGAACTCCCGGAAAGAACCTCCCGAATAAATCACAATCGATTAAGGCTTTAAATATTTTACCTTTAATTTCAGACTGTGTTAGTCCCTTGGTAGAAACAGCATATGGTAAACTGTCTCTGTAAAGAAACATGTGCTTGATTTTAGGAAACATTTCACAAATGTCCTTGACCTCTGCGAAGGTAAAGGCAGCGACCTTCAGAACAATTCTTTGAGCTCCTGGCAGTGTCTTACACTGCAGCCTGATGACACTCCGCAGCAGCCCTCGAACGACCTCTTCCGGGGCGGCTTCGCTCTTATTTAACACTGTTATATAAGTAAGGGCATCTGGTTCTCCGAGGGCGATGGTCCCTGGGACCTGCTCAAAGACCTGACTGAGTAGAGTAGAGCCACAGCGCCCAGTGCTAGAGACCCATATGACGGGGAGCTGAGGATCCCCAGTCTCGTCCGCCAGACGGTGAAAGGCCACAAGAGGAATCGTGTATACTTTCTCAGCATTGAGAACCTGGGCCCACTTCATGAAAGGGTGTGTGTCTGAGCTGTAGATATCTACATCTTTGTCTGTCTTCAGAAATATAGCCTCTGTTGATGTGATGTTATACAGAGATATTGACGGGTCCAAGAGGATTCGGGGATGGTCAAACCTTTCGTGTGTGGTCCAGAATTCGTTTGTGTCGGAAGGCTTCATATGAGACACTTTTCTTTTCCAAAACACGTGTTGCACGTGGACGGCACGTTCATAGGACGTGTTGGTAGCTGCTCGTGCAGACTGGACCCCTGTAATTCTCCAAAGAAGGCCCTGAAGAACTTTGTATACAGGTGTCAGAATCACGAAGATGATGGAAAGGAGGCTGGATGGCAGTTCAGAGAACATCTTCTGGTTTCTGCGGAAGATAAAAATATATCAATAGTAATCTGCTTTACCAATGAGAAAAGAGAACATACTTCTTATCTGCCTTGTGTGCCTCCTGTTCGTCCTTCCGTCTGTCCATCTGTCTGTCTTGTCTTGTCCGTCTTTCTCCGATTTCTTATCGTGTCTTCTTTGTCTGTCTGTCTTCCTCTCGTGTCCGCCGATGTCTTCTTTGTCTGTCTGTCTTCATCTCGTGTCTGCCCATGTCTTCTTTGTCTGTCTGTCTTCCTCTCGTGTCTGCCCATGTCTTCTTTGTCTGTCTGTCTTCATCTCGTGTCTGCCCATGTCTTCTTTGTCTGTCTGTCTTCCTCTCGTGTCTGCCCATGTCTTCTTTGTCTGTCTGTCTTCATCTCGTGTCTGCCCATGTCTTCTTTGTCTGTCTGTCTTCCTCTCGTGTCTGCCCATGTCTTCTTTGTCTGTCTTCCTCTCGTGTCTGCCCATGTCTTCTTTGTCTGTCTGTCTTCCTCTCGTGTCTGCCCATGTCTTCTTTGTCTGTCTGTCTTCCTCTCGTGTCCGCCCATGTCTTCTTTGTCTGTCTGTCTTCCTCACATGTCTGTCCGTATCTTCTTTGTCCGTCTTCCTCTCGTGTCCGCCCATGTCTTCTTTGTCGGTCTTCCTCTCGTGTTCGCCCATGTCTTCTTTGTCTCTCTTCCTCTCGTGTCTGCCCATGTCTTCTTTGTCTGTCTGTCTTCCTCTCGTGTCTGCCCATGTCTTCTTTGTCTGTCTGTCTTCCTCTCGTGTCCGCCCATGTCTTCTTTGTCCGTCTTCCTCTCGTGTCCGCCCATGTCTTCTTTGTCCGTCTTCCTCTCGTGTCCGCCCATGTCTTCTTTGTCGGTCTTCCTCTCGTGTTCGCCCATGTCTTCTTTGTCTCTCTTCCTCTCGTGTCTGCCCATGTCTTCTTTGTCTGTCTGTCTTCCTCTCGTGTCTGCCCATGTCTTCTTTGTCTGTCTGTCTTCCTCTCGTGTCCGCCCATGTCTTCTTTGTCCGTCTTCCCCTCGTGTCCGCCCATGTGTTCTTTGTCCGTCTTCCTCTCGTGTCCGCCCATGTGTTCTTTGTCCGTCTTCCTCTCGTGTCCGCCCATGTGTTCTTTGTCTGTCTTCCTCTCGTGTCTGCCCATGTCTTCTTTGTCTGTCTGTCTTCCTCTCGTGTCCGCCAATGTCTTCTTTGTCTGTCTTCCCCTCGTGTCTGCCCATGTGTTCTTTGTCCGTCTTCCCCTCGTGTCCGCCCATGTGTTCTTTGTCCGTCTTCCTCTCGTGTCCGCCCATGTGTTCTTTGTCCGTCTTCCTCTCGTGTCCGCCCATGTGTTCTTTGTCCGTCTTCCTCTCGTGTCCGCCCATGTCTTCTTTGTCCGTCTTCCTCTCGTGCCCGCCCATGTGTTCTTTGTCCGTCTTCCTCTCGTGTCCGCCAATGTCTTCTTTGTCTGTCTTCTCCTCGTGCCCACCCATGTCTTCTTTGTCTGTCTTCCTCTCGTGTCCGCCCATGTCTTCTTTGTCCGTCTTCCCCTCGTGCCCACCCATGTCTTCTTTGTCTGTCCGTCTTCCCCTCGTGCCCACCCATGTCTTCTTTGTCAGTCTTCCCCTCGTGCCCACCCATGTCTTCTTTGTCTGTCTTCCTCTCGTGTCCGCCCATGTCTTCTTTGTCCGTCTTCCTCTCATGAGTGAGTGAGTGAGTGAGTTTGGTTTTACGCCGCTTTTAGCAATATTTCAGCAATATCACGGCGGGGGACACCAGAAATGGGCTTCACACATTGTACCCATGTCGGGATTCGAACCCGGGTCTTCGGCGTGACGAGCGAACGCTTTAACCACTAGGCTACCCGACCGCCCCTAGTGAGCAAGAACGACAGCTTAGCGTTATTATAAGAATTATCTGCCCTTGAAGTGTTGAGAAGGCTTGTGTGGGAGCAGAGATAATCTGTCTCAATTTTTTCAGTTTCTACCGAGAACTGACACATTACTCCACCTGTCCCCCACGACTGTCGGTATCGAGACTGTAGTGACCGCGGGGAGCAGCGAAAGTCTTAGACTAACATTTAGTCTCTGAAATCTTATATTACACAATATCCTTCTTGACTCTAAAAATAAAATAAAAATCCCTATGCTGATTTCAGAATAGAGCTAGCTTGAGCTGGCTAGATTTGCTTTTGTATGCGTTTCTAGTTTGTATTTTTTTTCATGAATTAAATATATTCCACGGTCTTGGTGCAGGACTGTGGAATATAATAGAGCTAGCTTGAGCTGGCTAGACTTGCTTTTGTATGCGTTTCTCGATATATTTTTTTTCATAAAATAAATATATTCCACGGTCATGGTGCAGGACTGTGGAATAGAATAGAGCTAGCTTGAGCTGGCTAGACTTGCTTTTGTCTGCGTTTCTAGATTATTATTTTTTCATAAAATAAATATATTTCACGGTCATGGTGCAGGACTACGAAAGTCTCAGTCGGCTCCCTTCTTCAATGTCAACACTCACAAACTTTGATATGGCACTGTCGAGATTATATCGCTGGAGCTGGAGGTGATTATATAATATTCAAAGCCACTCTCCCCGTATTGCAGAGGAGCGCTGACGCGTGGCCTGCTCACATCCGCACTACTCTGCATGCACAGGCGCATCTTGTGACAGTCTCTTTCACAATAACTCAGTCCACAGGTTAACTTAGCCTGTCTCGCAGTTCCTGAATCATGTAATTTTCCCTGTCGCCTAGCCCTTACTGTAATGCTATAGTTCTATTAAAGTGATAAAAGCAAGTCTAGATTTTACCCAGGTTCTGGTTCTCGCACCTCACTGCGGCTCCTATACAATATATACATGTAGTTGCTTGTTTCTATCAAAATTATGTATTTCAGAGACTGAGAGTAAGTCTAGGGTGAACACCACTGCAATCGGCAATACCCCGCTGTGTCATGGCGGCCTGCAGATAATTGCACCTGGGCGATCAGTGGTGGCTATTGACAGCATAGTCAAGAGTACACGGGAACCAGCGAATGGTTCAATCCGTTCAGAGGTCTTGAAACAATAACAAAACTCACCAACTTTGAAATGGCAGGCTACAGATGTATCGCTGGAACTTCAAGGGCTTTTTCACGGTCGCTCTGTCCAGGAACGCTGATATGGCTCTCTGGTGGGATTCACTGTGACTATATGCATACATAACCTCTCTATTCTCCTCCATTCAGGTCGCTGGGCCTATTATTTGAGCAACCTTGCAAATACGGATTCTCCGCGAGGAATGGGAGCAGTGTCGTCATCGATATCGTTCACTAAAGGGGCATTCACACGGTACAACTGGTTGGTACAACTTGTTGCATGCAATTAGTTGTACGGACTGAAGTTGTTTACAACTCGGTATTCACACGGCGTCGAGTTGTATACAACTCGGATCTCGCGAGATCTCCTTGCGTCCAAAACCTTGTGATTCACAACATTACCGCTGGAATCCTTGTTGCCGAGTTAATTTTTGCACCCACCTTTTCGAAAAATCAACGCTTTGTGAGAATTACGGTCGCGCGAAGCCGGGCCTACCTCTGACTTTGCAATTTAACGGAGTAATACATGATTGAACCCCATGGTGAAAAATTAAAGACTGGTTTGAAAAAGCAAAAAGTGCTCAATGTTGTCCTAGTTTCTGTTTTGCTTGCGAATGAAAACTCATTTGATCGTACATAGATAAAGTTCAGTGACGCGAAATTTGGCAGCTTTATTTTAGCCGTGAGCGATCAAAATGCCCCACACAGCTATCGATATTGATAACAACATCGGTTCTTTTTCTAGGACACTGAATGATTGTCATCCAAAATGTACTGAATACATATTTCAAACTTCAAAACATCTTATAGGAAGAATATGCATCACACCACACGATGAGTAACTATTTCTTTGTTCAAATAAAATGACTAATGTGTATGTAGCGGCCATAAAATTTCCGAGACCCGTGATGGGATTCGAACCGCAGACCTGATCCGAGGTCGGACGCCTTGTTCACATGACCATAGAGGTTAAGCCCGTCAGCAAGCTGACAAGGTAAGGATGTCATTTGTGGGATGACTCCACGCCCTGCTACATGTACAACGATGTTGATGTTGACGTGTTCTAATATGACATCCCTACCGGTAATCTCCCTTCACAACATAGCGAGTTCACTGATAGCAGTATGCGGAATGTTCAGAGTATGTTATTCCCTGATGCAGCGAGTGAGTGAGTGAGTTGGGTTTAACGCCGCTTTTAACAGTATTCCAGTTATATCGCGGCGTGTCAGCTTAATGTGGGAGAAAAGCCCGAAGTGATGCAGGTTTCCGACGTTTACCACTTCGATGAAACCAACGAGCACGGGTATGGTGCTGACAAACCTAGAAACATAATTGGGGCGAACCGGGATTCGAACCCACAATCATAGGTTTCTGGCGTGACTAAAGTGACGCAACACTGCACAGCGAATCGCGGCGCCTTAGACGACTGGGCAACTCGTGCCCCCGAGCCACAATGGAGACGTCAGCAGTCGTAATGAGGTCTCAATGAAGTAAACACCTTCCTGACCTATTTTATATAATACACATAACAAACTGGTAACATTTTAGTATTCTCACCCTACCTCATTTTTTAGTGAGCAAGAGTGAGTGAGCGAGTATGGTTTTACGCCGCTTTTAGCAATATTCCAGCAACATCACGGCGGGGGACACCAGAAATGGGCTTCACACATTGTACCCATGTCGGGAATCGAACCCGGGTCTTCGGCGTGACGAGCGAACGCTTTAACCACCAGGCTACCCGACCGCCCCTAGTGAGCAAGAACGACAGCTTAGCGTTATTATAAGAATTATCTGCCCTTGAAGTGTTGAGAAGGCTTGTGTGGGAGCAGAGATAATCTGTCTCAATTTTTTCAGTTTCTACCGAGAACTGACACATTACTCCACCTGTCCCCCACGACTGTCGGTATCGAGACTGTAGTGACCGCGGGGAGCAGCGAAAGTCTTAGACTAACATTTAGTCTCTGAAATCTTATATTACACAATATCCTTCTTGACTCTAAAAATAAAATAAAAATCCCTATGCTGATTTCAGAATAGAGCTAGCTTGAGCTGGCTAGATTTGCTTTTGTATGCGTTTCTAGTTTGTATTTTTTTTCATGAATTAAATATATTCCACGGTCTTGGTGCAGGACTGTGGAATATAATAGAGCTAGCTTGAGCTGGCTAGACTTGCTTTTGTATGCGTTTCTCGATATATTTTTTTTCATAAAATAAATATATTCCACGGTCATGGTGCAGGACTGTGGAATAGAATAGAGCTAGCTTGAGCTGGCTAGACTTGCTTTTGTCTGCGTTTCTAGATTATTATTTTTTCATAAAATAAATATATTTCACGGTCATGGTGCAGGACTACGAAAGTCTCAGTCGGCTCCCTTCTTCAATGTCAACACTCACAAACTTTGATATGGCACTGTCGAGATTATATCGCTGGAGCTGGAGGTGATTATATAATATTCAAAGCCACTCTCCCCGTATTGCAGAGGAGCGCTGACGCGTGGCCTGCTCACATCCGCACTACTCTGCATGCACAGGCGCATCTTGTGACAGTCTCTTTCACAATAACTCAGTCCACAGGTTAACTTAGCCTGTCTCGCAGTTCCTGAATCATGTAATTTTCCCTGTCGCCTAGCCCTTACTGTAATGCTATAGTTCTATTAAAGTGATAAAAGCAAGTCTAGATTTTACCCAGGTTCTGGTTCTCGCACCTCACTGCGGCTCCTATACAATATATACATGTAGTTGCTTGTTTCTATCAAAATTATGTATTTCAGAGACTGAGAGTAAGTCTAGGGTGAACACCACTGCAATCGGCAATACCCCGCTGTGTCATGGCGGCCTGCAGATAACTGCACCTGGGCGATCAGTGGTGGCTATTGACAGCATAGTCAAGAGTACACGGGAACCAGCGAATGGTTCAATCCGTTCAGAGGTCTTGAAACAATAACAAAACTCACCAAATTTGAAATGGCAGGCTACAGATGTATCGCTGGAACTTCAAGGGCTTTTTCACGGTCGCTCTGTCCAGGAACGCTGATATGGCTCTCTGGTGGGATTCACTGTGACTATATGCATACATAACCTCTCTATTCTCCATTCAGGTCGCTGGGCCTATTATTTGAGCAACCTTGCAAATACGGATTCTCCGCGAGGAGTGGGAGCAGTGTCGTCATCGATATCGTTCACTAAAGGGGCATTCACACGGTACAACTGGTTGGTACAACTTGTTGCATGCAATTAGTTGTACGGACTGAAGTTGTTTACAACTCGGTATTCACACGGCGTCGAGTTGTATACAACTCGGATCTCGCGAGATCTCCTTGCGTCCAAAACCTTGTGATTCACAACATTACCGCTGGAATCCTTGTTGCCGAGTTAATTTTTGCACCCACCTTTTCGAAAAATCAACGCTTTGTGAGAATTACGGTCGCGCGGAGCCGGGCCTACCTCTGACTTTGCAATTTAACGGAGTAATACATGATTGAACCCCATGGTGAAAAATTAAAGACTGGTTTGAAAAAGCAAAAAGTGCTCAATGTTGTCCTAGTTTCTGTTTTGCTTGCGAATGAAAACTCATTTGATCGTACATAGATAAAGTTCAGTGACGCGAAATTTGGCAGCTTTATTTTAGCCGTGAGCGATCAAAATGCCCCACACAGCTATCGATATTGATAACAACATCGGTTCTTTTTCTAGGACACTGAATGATTGTCATCCAAAATGTACTGAATACATATTTCAAACTTCAAAACATCTTATAGGAAGAATATGCATCACACCACACGATGAGTAACTATTTCTTTGTTCAAATAAAATGACTAATGTGTATGTAGCGGCCATAAAATTTCCGAGACCCGTGATGGGATTCGAACCGCAGACCTGATCCGAGGTCGGACGCCTTGTTCACATGACCATAGAGGTTAAGCCCGTCAGCAAGCTGACAAGGTAAGGATGTCATCTGTGGGATGACTCCACGCCCTGCTACATGTACAACGATGTTGATGTTGACGTGTTCTAATATGACATCCCTACCGGTAATCTCCCTTCACAACATAGCGAGTTCACTGATAGCAGTATGCGGAATGTTCAGAGTATGTTATTCCCTGATGCAGCGAGTGAGTGAGTGAGTTGGGTTTAACGCCGCTTTTAACAGTATTCCAGTTATATCGCGGCGTGTCAGCTTAATGTGGGAGAAAAGCCCGAAGTGATGCAGGTTTCCGACGTTTACCACTTCGATGAAACCAACGAGCACGGGTATGGTGCTGACAAACCTAGAAACATAATTGGGGCGAACCGGGATTCGAACCCACAATCATAGGTTTCTGGCGTGACTAAAGTGACGCAACACTGCACAGCGAATCGCGGCGCCTTAGACGACTGGGCAACTCGTGCCCCCGAGCCACAATGGAGACGTCAGCAGTCGTAATGAGGTCTCAATGAAGTAAACACCTTCCTGACCTATTTTATATAATACACATAACAAACTGGTAACATTTTAGTATTCTCACCCTACCTCATTTTTTAGTGAGCAAGAGTGAGTGAGCGAGTATGGTTTTACGCCGCTTTTAGCAATATTCCAGCAACATCACGGCGGGGGACACCAGAAATGGGCTTCACACATTGTACCCATGTCGGGAATCGAACCCGGGTCTTCGGCGTGACGAGCGAACGCTTTAACCACCAGGCTACCCGACCGCCCCTAGTGAGCAAGAACGACAGCTTAGCGTTATTATAAGAATTATCTGCCCTTGAAGTGTTGAGAAGGCTTGTGTGGGAGCAGAGATAATCTGTCTCAATTTTTTCAGTTTCTACCGAGAACTGACACATTACTCCACCTGTCCCCCACGACTGTCGGTATCGAGACTGTAGTGACCGCGGGGAGCAGCGAAAGTCTTAGACTAACATTTAGTCTCTGAAATCTTATATTACACAATATCCTTCTTGACTCTAAAAATAAAATAAAAATCCCTATGCTGATTTCAGAATAGAGCTAGCTTGAGCTGGCTAGATTTGCTTTTGTATGCGTTTCTAGTTTGTATTTTTTTTCATGAATTAAATATATTCCACGGTCTTGGTGCAGGACTGTGGAATATAATAGAGCTAGCTTGAGCTGGCTAGACTTGCTTTTGTATGCGTTTCTCGATATATTTTTTTTCATAAAATAAATATATTCCACGGTCATGGTGCAGGACTGTGGAATAGAATAGAGCTAGCTTGAGCTGGCTAGACTTGCTTTTGTCTGCGTTTCTAGATTATTATTTTTTCATAAAATAAATATATTTCACGGTCATGGTGCAGGACTACGAAAGTCTCAGTCGGCTCCCTTCTTCAATGTCAACACTCACAAACTTTGATATGGCACTGTCGAGATTATATCGCTGGAGCTGGAGGTGATTATATAATATTCAAAGCCACTCTCCCCGTATTGCAGAGGAGCGCTGACGCGTGGCCTGCTCACATCCGCACTACTCTGCATGCACAGGCGCATCTTGTGACAGTCTCTTTCACAATAACTCAGTCCACAGGTTAACTTAGCCTGTCTCGCAGTTCCTGAATCATGTAATTTTCCCTGTCGCCTAGCCCTTACTGTAATGCTATAGTTCTATTAAAGTGATAAAAGCAAGTCTAGATTTTACCCAGGTTCTGGTTCTCGCACCTCACTGCGGCTCCTATACAATATATACATGTAGTTGCTTGTTTCTATCAAAATTATGTATTTCAGAGACTGAGAGTAAGTCTAGGGTGAACACCACTGCAATCGGCAATACCCCGCTGTGTCATGGCGGCCTGCAGATAACTGCACCTGGGCGATCAGTGGTGGCTATTGACAGCATAGTCAAGAGTACACGGGAACCAGCGAATGGTTCAATCCGTTCAGAGGTCTTGAAACAATAACAAAACTCACCAAATTTGAAATGGCAGGCTACAGATGTATCGCTGGAACTTCAAGGGCTTTTTCACGGTCGCTCTGTCCAGGAACGCTGATATGGCTCTCTGGTGGGATTCACTGTGACTATATGCATACATAACCTCTCTATTCTCCATTCAGGTCGCTGGGCCTATTATTTGAGCAACCTTGCAAATACGGATTCTCCGCGAGGAGTGGGAGCAGTGTCGTCATCGATATCGTTCACTAAAGGGGCATTCACACGGTACAACTGGTTGGTACAACTTGTTGCATGCAATTAGTTGTACGGACTGAAGTTGTTTACAACTCGGTATTCACACGGCGTCGAGTTGTATACAACTCGGATCTCGCGAGATCTCCTTGCGTCCAAAACCTTGTGATTCACAACATTACCGCTGGAATCCTTGTTGCCGAGTTAATTTTTGCACCCACCTTTTCGAAAAATCAACGCTTTGTGAGAATTACGGTCGCGCGGAGCCGGGCCTACCTCTGACTTTGCAATTTAACGGAGTAATACATGATTGAACCCCATGGTGAAAAATTAAAGACTGGTTTGAAAAAGCAAAAAGTGCTCAATGTTGTCCTAGTTTCTGTTTTGCTTGCGAATGAAAACTCATTTGATCGTACATAGATAAAGTTCAGTGACGCGAAATTTGGCAGCTTTATTTTAGCCGTGAGCGATCAAAATGCCCCACACAGCTATCGATATTGATAACAACATCGGTTCTTTTTCTAGGACACTGAATGATTGTCATCCAAAATGTACTGAATACATATTTCAAACTTCAAAACATCTTATAGGAAGAATATGCATCACACCACACGATGAGTAACTATTTCTTTGTTCAAATAAAATGACTAATGTGTATGTAGCGGCCATAAAATTTCCGAGACCCGTGATGGGATTCGAACCGCAGACCTGATCCGAGGTCGGACGCCTTGTTCACATGACCATAGAGGTTAAGCCCGTCAGCAAGCTGACAAGGTAAGGATGTCATCTGTGGGATGACTCCACGCCCTGCTACATGTACAACGATGTTGATGTTGACGTGTTCTAATATGACATCCCTACCGGTAATCTCCCTTCACAACATAGCGAGTTCACTGATAGCAGTATGCGGAATGTTCAGAGTATGTTATTCCCTGATGCAGCGAGTGAGTGAGTGAGTTGGGTTTAACGCCGCTTTTAACAGTATTCCAGTTATATCGCGGCGTGTCAGCTTAATGTGGGAGAAAAGCCCGAAGTGATGCAGGTTTCCGACGTTTACCACTTCGATGAAACCAACGAGCACGGGTATGGTGCTGACAAACCTAGAAACATAATTGGGACGAACCGGGATTTGAATCCACAATCATAGGTTTCTGGCGTGCCCAAGGGACGCAACTCTGCACAGCGAATCGCAGCGCCTTAGGCGACTGGGCCACCCGTGCCCCTATAGTATGATTGATTCAGGGTTGTATGTATGTGAGTGTGAAAAATATAAATAATTGCATTGAGGTGGTCTATTGCAATTCGCAGACAACAGAGGACTCATTGCGCTGACTGCTGGATCCAATACGTCATCTGTCACTAACGGGATCGGGGGGTCAGGCTCGCTGACTTGGTTGAAGGATGTCATCGATCCCAATTGCGTGAATCGATGCTCATGATATCAATCACTGGATTGACTGGTCCAGACTCGATTATTTACAGACCGCCGTCGTATAGCTGGAATATTGCTGAGTGCGGCAATAAACAACAAGCAAACAAACAAACAAACAAACAAACGCTCCGGTCACAGATTCCCCCTGGAAGGGGCCAAGTTAGCCACAGCCGACATAGCCGCCAAGGCCTTATTAGAGAAGCAGCCCATTCGGGAACTCCTACACACAGACACCAGCTTGGGATTTTACTCCCCGGTGTTCTTGGTTCCCCAAAAGAATTCTACCAAAATGAGACTGATCACAGATCTCAAGGTCCTGAGCCAGTACTTCCTGATATGTCCTCCAAAATTCCAGATGGAATCTGTCCGGAAATTACGATCAATACTACGACAAAGAGAATTGCTCTTCAGCATCGACCTTCAGGGTGCGTATCTGCATGTGCCGAGTTGCAGTCAATGGCCGTAGTTACGAGTTCCGGGTACTTCCTTTCAGAATCTCCATTGCTCCATGGTTGTTCACCAGGGTAACCGCCCCAGTCATCAGTTTCCCCCGTCTCCATCTGGTCCGTGACCATGGTGACTGCCAAGTAGCAAATCAGCATAGATCTCGGCTCCTTCAAGACAGGGCTTTCCTGACCCGACTCATGACACATTTTGGGTTCCTCATTCATCTATCTGACGTCATCTGTCCTGGGTACAAGCTACACCTCGAGACCCTATCTCAGCTTGTATCCCGTCCCTCCGGTCACTACCCG